CGTTCTAATAGTGTGACTTTATGTTATAGACGTACAGAAGGGATCATTTTACAGGTGAAATGTATGTATGTCGATTTTTGTTATATAGTCATAATCAATATCCATATTTACCTTGTAACTGGCGATGTCATTGTCGGAACATACCTTCCACGTATATTTTTACTGTATTCGACAATGATAGAAAACAGATGTCTTTTAGCACGTGCGTTAATTCGCTAAAATTACTTCCGGAATTTACATTAAATTACGTTTAACAATATTGAAATAAGCGATTTTTTATGTCATCATGAATAAGTTTATATACAAAAATCATAAAATTGCTGTCATATCCTTCAAGTTTGGAACTATATTTCAGAGCCGAGCAATTAATTTGGCGTACGTTATCAGGCAAAATTAAGCTTAATGTCAACTGCAGATAAATAAAGATTGAACAACAAAACTGTTGAAGTTTTGATGATCTGATTTACAATCGATGCTGGAGGATAAATAGAATACAAGGTCAGTATCTTACAATACAAGCTGTATTTTGGATCGGAACAGAAAGACAAAAAAGCTCGCTAGAGACTCGCCATTTTACGCTTTCTCAACCCTCGTCAATGTCAGCTGAAAATTTAAGAAACTGACCATGTATTTTCTGTGTACGTATATAAGGACAAGGCCATAAGACGATACTTTTATTAAAACGACCTTGGACGTACTTGTAACTAAGTTATGTTGATTCCGTAGTATGAACATCCATCCTCTTATTACCTTACATAATACACATCATGACGTCTAATAATTATCTTTGTACGTGTTAGTGGGCTTTCATCTTACTAGGCACTAAGTAAACCGCATTTAGAAAAACTACACTTCAACTTAGCTCCTCTAGCTTGTGTTCTGTGTTATCATATTTCCTGTCATCAAGAATATATAAACGACAACAGTATATGGAATTGTAATATATTTCCTATGGGATAGAAAATAAAGATTTGAATTTTAATTTGGGTGAGTAGTGGCAATCGTATTCATGACGATCATTTAAACAAGACAACGACCTATTGAAGCAATCACGTAAAACATCATCGCGACTTCACTGAAAGAACGATTCTGATGAATACAAAATAAGGAATTAACCAATATAATGTCGCTGATATATCACATGGAGACATCAGAATTCATCACTTAAATTAACTCTCTAATAAACCACCCGGAGACATCAGAATTCATCACTTAAATTAACTCTCTAATAAACCACCCGGAGACATCAGAATTCATCACTTAAATGACCTCTCTGATAAGTCACCCGGAGACATCAGAATTAATCTCTTAAATGACTTCTCTGATACGTCACCCGGAGACATCAGAATTTATCGCTTCAATGACCTCTCTGATAAGTCACCCGGAGACATCAGAATTCATCGCTTAAATGACCTCTCTGATAAGTCACCCGGAGACATCAGAATTCATCACTTAAATGACCTCTCTGATAAGTCACCCGGAGACATCAGAATTCATCACTTAAATGACCTCTCTGATAAGTCACCCGGAGACATCAGAATTCATCACTTAAATGACCTCTCTGATAAGTCACCCGGAGACATCAGAATTCATCACTTAAATGACCTCTCTGATAAATCACATGGAGACATCAGAATTCATCACTTAAATGACCTCTCTGATAAATCACATGGAGACATCAAAATTCATCACTTTAATGACCTCTCTGATAAACAACCCGGAGACATCAGAATTCATCGCTTAAATGACCTCTCTGATAAATCACATGGAGACATCAGAATTCATCACTTTAATGACCTCTCTGATAAACAACCCGGAGACATCAGAATTCATCACTTAAATGACCTCTCTGATAAATCACATGGAGACATCAGAATTCATCACTTTAATGACCTCTCTGATAAACCACCCGGAGACATCAGAATTCATCACTTTAATGACCTCTCTGATAAACCACCCGGAGACATCAGAATTCATCACTTAAATGACCTCTCTGATAAGTCACCCGGAGACATCAGAATTCATCACTTAAATGACCTCTCTGATAAGTCACCCGGAGACATCAGAATTCATCAGTTAAATGACCTCTCTGATAAATCACATGGATACATCAGAATTCATCACTTTAATGACCTCTCTAATAAACAACCCGGAGACATCAGAATTCATCGCTTAAATGACCTCTCTGATAAATCACATGGAGACATCAGAATTCATCACTTTAAATTCATCACTTTAATGACCTCTCTGATAAGTCACCCGGAGACATCAGAATTTATCGCTTAAATGACCTCTCTGATAAGTCACCCGGAGACATCAGAATTCATCACTTAAATGACCTCTCTGATAAATCACCCGGAGACATCAGAATTCATCACTTTAATGACCTCTCTGATAAATCACCCGGAGACATCAGAATTCATCACTTTAATGACCTCTCTGATAAACAACCCGGAGACATCAGAATTCATCGCTTAAATGACCTCTCTAATAAATCACATGGAGACATCAGAATTCATCACTTTAATGACCTCTCTGATAAACAACATGAAGACATCAGAATTCATCACTTAAATGACCTCTCTGATAAATCACATGGAGACATCAGAATTCATCACTTTAATGACCTCTCTGATAAACCACCCGGAGACATCAGAATTCATCACTTTAATGACCTCTCTGATAAGTCACCCGGAGACATCAGAATTCATCACTTAAATGACTTCTCTGATAAGTCACCCGGAGACATCAGAATTCATCACTTTAATGACCTCTCTGATAAACCACCCGGAGACATCAGAATTCATCACTTTAATGACCTCTCTGATAAGTCACCCGGAGACATCAGAATTTATCACTTAAATGACCTCTCTGATAAGTCACCCGGAGACATCAGAATTCATCGCTTAAATGACCTCTCTGATAAATCACATGGAGACATCAGAATTCATCACTTAAATGACCTCTCTGATAAATCACATGGAGACATCAGAATTCATCACTTTAATGACCTCTCTGATAAATCACCCGGAGACATCAGAATTCATCACTTTAATGACCTCTCTGATAAGTCACCCGGAGACATCAGAATTCATCACTTTAATGACCTCTGTGATAAGTCACCTGGAAACATCAGAATTGATCAATTAAATGAAACTATATCCATTTTAATATTAATGTATTGATCTATGGGTGTCATGAATGTATTGAATATGTACTTTCTTATTGCAATGTACCTCAGAATGTATAATTGACTAAAAGTAGTTGTACGTATTCCAGTTGGGAAATGGAGACTTTATCGTATACTTATCTGTCATGTTTTGTCTGTTTAATCATTCAATTGCTTGTATTGCCATCCAGAAGTTGCTGGGAGAAGGCTTAAATAGGTAATGCCTGATGCTCTTGGCCATTTTTTAACAATAAAATTTGTAGAAATATGAAACCATATCAAAACACTAGATTTAGATAAAATCTGACATTTACTGGTGAAATACTTCCACACAGCTGTTACAGTCATTAAACACATCTTGAGGACGAAACGTTCTGCTATAATCCTTTGTATTGGCTTTACGATGAGGCTCATGAAGTCGATTTTGTACCATACAAAATTACAACATATGTAGAATTATAGCCAGGAAAAACCAGTTTTCAGAACCACCCTCAATTTAACGTGTCTTTGGATGGATTGCAAGGACGCTCAATAAAATGTATCTTTTTCTAATTCAATGATATGCCAGAATCAGAAGATCACTTCCAAAAATAGATTCGATGTTTGACGAGGTGATATGACACTTCTCCTTGGCGTATTGGGTTCTACTTTAATACGTACTTAGACAATAAAGCACACGTGGTTTCAGCCTGTTCAAGAAAAAACCGAATAAGATGTGCCAAGGAAAACTTGGAGAATAGTAACACGATAAGGAAGCGGCCATCTGTAATTTTGTTTGTAACGTTATTGTCGGCCCTAAGATCAAAGTTGAAATACATTGAAAGGAAGGCGCACTCACTAACAATTTGCTGATATCGTGGGTTTTTTTAATTTACACAGAAATTACTTTATTTTCATGGCACCATTATTTTTTCTCTCAGGATATCATAACCCAAAATGACATAAAATGAAGATCTCAAAGGCATTAAAAGATGAAATTAAGGTAAAATCCAGGTTTATTTCTTTCGTCATGAGATCAGACGTATAATTGATTTTGGTTTATGTACTCGGTGAGCATTGTTTATTGTTAATCCGGGCATTTTTCTTCTAAATTGGTACAAGTCTATTTGGGCTCGACTTCTAGTTTGTCAAAGCCCTGTATGGCAATAGTTTTTAACATTTCGGTACACAGATTATGTTATATTTTAACTCCACATCCGATTCGTCACACTTTTGTAATGAAATGTGTTATTCACTTAGGTGTCCACGGAGACATGCTTTACAGAAACCAACGATCCTGTACCTTATCTTAGGCCAGTAAAATCAAACAATATAAAAAAAAACTACTGATTGTTCCATATTTACACCTCGTTTTCTCACTTAAATTATTAATGTGACGGCCAAGATGTAGTGAAAAATGGCAGGAGAATGGCAACAGTTTATTAATATCGATTGTTTTATAGACATGTTTAACCGGTTGTCAAATTGTATTTCTTGACAAAATTAACATAATATAGTCAGACCGCATTATTTTATTTATCAGACACAAACATAACATTCATCATGTCTATCTTATTTATTTATTTCTCTTTGAATGATTATTTACTGGAAGAGTCCTTTGCAAATCAAAGCTATCGAAGAGGCTTATGTATGTTGCAGTGTGTGTAGCTGGAGACAACGTGAATTGCGTTGACGTTAAGTATGTCACCCTCGCGCTAAAATGACGTCATATTATTGTCATGTGACCAGATTGTACACGTATCCATACAACCATAAATAAACCGAATTAATGAGAGTCCATGATTAAAAATGTATATGAGATACTAACACGTCTGTGTATTGTTTCTTGTAGAATGTGTGATGTCACTGAAGTGCTGGCACTGTATAGCTGATGACTGTGATAAGGACCCAGGTGGGAACTACAAGGCCGTGGAGAGGACTTGTGAAGTTGGTCAATACTGTCAGGTCGGTTATATTTGGGATATAAATAATGATATTTAGAGTATATGAATAGATGAAAAAGAATACTCAAGGCGCAAATATGTTGAATTACATGTGGTATATGTTAAAAGAAATAAGAAAACAAAAATGAAACATCGAAACCATACGCATTAAACAGGCATTTTTTTTATACATGTCCAAACGACGTGTATATTAAGAGATACTTTTAAGTGTTACAACATCAGAATAAACCATGTTACACGTGTATCGGAATGGTGATATTTTGACATCCATTAGATTATAATTGAAATTGTTTCAATCTCTGGCAGCTGCTTTTAACATAACTTTATTTTTATTTACAGAAAATATTCTTCGAAATGTTCAGTACTACTGATAACCGGAAGTACAAGTCTACGGTACGCGGCTGCGCATGGGACTGCCTCAATCAGAACGATTTTGCTAATTGTACACGTGACATGTTTTCGTCACGTGGTTGCATTGAGAAATCCTGCTGTGCGGACAAGGACTTGTGTAACACCGCCTCGTCTAGAACAGACACTGTTCATACTCGGATTATTATTTTTGTGATATTTTCAATAATTTTGAAATATTTCTACAGATGACGAATATTGCTTTCATGTTTTGAATTACAGTTAATTTGTGTAATAAAGTATATCGTGTTTTGATAAAAAAAACCTTGTTTAATCGAAACAGTTTTTGTCGTTTGGAAGAAGCGTTCTCAATGCTAAAGGGACTGTTTTCCGTATCACTTAGCCGTTACTTTTTATAAACAAATTGTACCAACATACAGAGATAGGCGATCGTTTTCTTGTGCTCGTTCACTGAAATGCCGAAAGGTTGTAAAGGTGAATATAAAACCTGTTAAATAAACAAAGGAATTTTCTAGGGATTTAACTGTAGGAAAAATGGGAAATCCCAAAATCTCCATAGAAGCCATAATTTTTTGTTTGTGTCATTGATGCCAGGAGTCGAAGATGGAGTACCTTTGTAATATAAACTTCTGTCGCTGTTAAATGAGGTTGTGATGCTATGGATTCTCTGAGAAACTGGTTTGTCTTTTTAGATCCATTACATACGGCCAATGTCCACAAGAGATGGTTTTTACCCAGTGAACTTTACAACAAAAGCATGGTGTATATCTTTGGACACCGTCGCTAACATATTACAATTCACTATTGGAGGGTTTTCGATACGTTTTCATAACATAACATAGCAGTACGTGGTATGGGATGATGATTTACCCAGCTAAGCGAGATGATTCTTCAATAAACATTAGAAATGCTGTTTTTTTTTAAAGTACACGAGGAAAAGTCAAATGTGTTGGATAAGCAAAGTGTCAGTGACACCGAAATAGTACATTGTCCATTTTATCCTTCAATGGACTTCCGACTACAAATGAATACAACATCGTTTCACTGTACTTGTTAGAAATTTAACAACAGGCATTACTGTACATGTATCTAGCGATGTACGAGGAAAAAGGTGTGTAAAGTTTTAAAAAATTCGAGAGAAATTCGAGAATCTAATATGCTAGTAAACGTGAATGATCAAAAGATATAATGACGGTGACACGCCCACCACGGACACGCCAACCGATGTTGACCTACTAATGCTAACTCACAAATAGGAAAACACACGCAAGGGTTTATAAAACATCTCACAATTTTAATCAAGTTTACATCATGTAAGTAACAATTCAAATGTATGCTTAGGATTTCAGTCTATTACATGTGTGTAAATACATTTCTTTATCAAGCTTATGAAATAGATGATAAAATAGACATGTACATTAACAAGAAAATGGTGAGGATTTTATAGAAATTTATATCTATACATGTGTACCTGAAAAGTATCGTACTATATAATGAGGTTCAGTGAACAAGTTTATAAGAATTATAGTTATGAACATTGACATGTAAAAACCTTTCTCATTCGTTCACAATCCTTATCATAACGTATAAATATAACCAATCATAAGTGTAACAAAATATTTCAACAAAAATATAGACGTAACTGATTTCATAAAATAAATACACTTTCTAACAAGGTCAGGATTAGTTCTATCAAAACCTAGGATCGTCGTGTAAGGACTAGTGACATGGCAAATGTCAAAAACGTAAAGGCGACCAAACCTTGACCGGACGTAGTACTAGCGCCATTGATGCCATCATCTGTGACAGGAGGAACAGTTGTTGCAGCTCTGCGGTCCAAATAGCCAGTCTCTCCAATCGGAACTTTCCAGATAAGCACGTTAGCTCCACTGCTTCCGGTGAAATCGATGGACGTCAAGAGGAACTTATTAAGTTTGTTGACAGAAAACCACAATGACCCGTCATTATTGAAGTTCAATATGTCCACAAACACCATGCATTGGTCGTCTTGTAAAACCCGCGTTAATGCGTTCATCTCCACATTACTGATGTCCGTGTTCTGAAGTGTCATGTCTAGTTTGATATCCCATCTGTAGATGGCGTTCTCGCCTAGAGCAGGAAAATACAGATTGTCATTTTTACTATATGCCATACCTGCTGCTTGAGAAGGCTTGTTTCCAACTTTTCTGACAGATCCTGCGAAGTTTCCTCCAGGTTGTGATGCAACGCTTGTAGGCACTTGGTACAAACTCAAACCGGAAACAGGACCATAATATACGTACTGCATGTCTTTTGATAAAGCCATGCCATTGATACCAGCGGACACGGGCAAAGTTTCTCCTAAAATGGTGATATTTCCGTTTCCGGACTCTGGTTCCATTGATGCTGGGTGCGAAAAATAGTGTGAGGTATTTAGAAGTCGGTCGTAAACTACCATTCGGAAAGCTAAAGCATCGGAAATATACGCGTATCGGGATTCATCGTTCACATACTGGATAACAATGTCATTTAGAAAAGTAATTTGCCGATCAGCAACCTCGTTGGGAAATACATATCGGGTCACTTCAACCATGTTTTTAATATCATAAACAATTATTTTGGCAGGACAGAGATTTTGTGTGGTTGTTCCATCAGCGGCGAAAAAGTTGATTCTGCCGGTATCGATGATCCACATCCAGCCAGTGTTTGGGTCTATCTCCATACTTTGGACATATTGAAGGGCGCGGCAATCTCCTATCTTCTGCATCTCCCAGCTGGGGAACGCCTGTAAAATCGACTCACCATTACTGGCGACTATTTTGTTTAAAGTTGAAGGCACCCCGCGTCGCCATCTTGGAACTGTGACATATACATTGCCGTCGTATACTTTCATACCACTGATTATGTTGTTGTTTACTATATATTCTTCGTTGGCGATGGCGGAGTCCTTAGCTGTACGATTCGGCCACTCGTAATCAATCGTAACGAATCTATGCATGATCCTCGAATCTGTGCAGACTGTTGTGCTTTGACCGTGGACCGCTACAAGTGACATTGTCACGAGTAACATGAACAGCGGGAGATGATACATGTTGTGTAATATGTAAAACTTCTGATGGAAGTCAAGGTATCACCTGGATTTATCGGACACCTGCCTCGAGGTTTAATGATGGAAAAAGATTTCGGACTCGCTTATATACTATTGTCATTACGGATGCATATGTCCGCATCCGGATCCATCCTGCATAAATTATTATGTACTAGGTTTTTTCTGGTCAAGTAAGTTCAGGGAATCAATACATCTTAGGAGTGTATATTGAATCAGGAAGCTACCCGAGGTCGAAAAAGACTCCTCCTTATTCCGAGAAGCCGCAAACCGGTTTAAGGCGCTTACGAATGCGGATGTTTTCATTTGATGACCACCGAATTAATACTACAAAACTATTTACTTTAGGGATGTACATTGGGATGGCTGTGAAAATATGTTTTCCAACGTGCTTGATTACACTTGAAGGAGTGGCAATATTCACAGACGCAAATGTTGAGTTCATTATTTATTGTATCATCATAGCCCTCTAGCTGAATCATAAGTTAACTATATTTCATAAAAATATTTAGATTTAATTAAACTTGAATTTTATTATCAGAGAAACCTGATTCAGAATAAAAACAAGTAATTCTCTGTTATATACAGTTAGGTGCTGGAGCGATAATGTTGATATTTTATTACTACAGTGTTTGACATATACTTTATAGGTAAATTTACTTAATTGACGACTTTGAATATATTCGTTATAATACTATTCATATACATGAGTTTTCCGTCAAAACAATTATGCACCAATTTTCGTTAAGTGCTATGAGTTCAGAAATAAGTCCTTTCCCCGTTACTCCATGTTGTAAATTCCTGACGACTAGGATATGGCGACTTGACCTATATCAATTACCTTATCGAACTCAAACACTGTGGTGAGTAAGGTAAGTGTGATACAGGTATGAGTAAATAGAGTTTGTACACATCGTGGGGATTACCTAGTCCATCCCGGTACTTTCTACTTTCGCTTTACGTATTATAACATAATGTAACTTACCTGAAACAAAAAGAAAGTCAACATAAGTGGAGCGAAAAATAATTTAAAAAAAAAAACGAAATCTGTATATCTAAATCACAGGGACTTGGAACGAATCCGCAACTCACTGTCCATGTACTTATATTATAGTGACAACTGGTGTAACTCTCGAGAAGAGAAAATTGAACATATTATAGAATTATGTTTTCTTATGTACGAGAAGCCGTATATCTTAGTAATACATACATAACTTTTTTTTTAAATGTTTCCAATAAGTGTTTGATGAACGAGATTGACCAAGTATAAGCCAAGTTACGAACTCGGAAATACCTGTATATATAGGAATGGATAGGTAGACATTTGACTGTCCGGTTGAAACACGCTCTCGTCTCTATTAGGTGCCGTTATAACTTAAATACATATATGAGTCGTGGATTGGAAATTTGTGCCAACGTCCCTGTGATCGAGCTTTCTTCCGCTTTTACAACTGACCATTCTCACAATATATCATCAATCGAAGCATATAATTCATGCACGAATTAAAAATTCAATCATCTAAAACAGATCCAATTGTCCAAGGATTGGTCACATTTTTAATGGCGGTATAGGATTAAACTGATTATGTAAAACAGGCTTTTCATGCATGAACAATGAATAAAGAGTGAAACAAAGAACTGACATTGGTGGTGTTGTATTCCTGTACTGAACGGGAACTACCACTGACATTGGTGGTGTTGTATTCCTGTACTGAACGGGAACTACCACTGACATTGATGGTATTGTACTGAGCGTGAACTACCACTGACATTGGTGGTGTTGTATTCCTGTACTGAACGTGAACTACCACTGACATTGGTGGTGTTGTATTGAACGTGAACTACCACTGACATTGGTGGTGTTGTATTCCTGTACTGAACGGGAACTACCACTGACATTGGTGGTGTTGTATTCCTGTACTGAACGTGAACTACCACTGACATTGGTGGTGTTGTATTGAACGTGAACTACCACTGACATTGGTGGTGTTGTATTCCTGTACTGAACGGGAACTACCACTGACATTGGTGGTGTTGTATTCCTGTACTGAACGGGAACTACCACTGACATTGATGGTATTGTACTGAGCGTGAACTAACACTGACATTGGTGGTGTTGTATTCTTGTACTGAACGGGAACTACCACTGACATTGATGGTGTTGTACTGAGCGTGAACTACCACCGACATTGGTGGTGTTGTACTGAACGTGAACTACCACTGACATTGGTGGTGTTGTATTGAACGTGAACTACCACTGACATTGGTGGTGTTGTATTCCTGTATAGAACAGGAACTACCACTGACATTGGTGGTGTTGTACTGAACGGGAACTACCACTGACATTGGTGGTGTTGTACTGAACGGGAACTACCACTGACATTAGTGGTGTTGTACTGAACGGGAACTACCACTGATATTGATGGTGTTGTATTCCTGTACTGAACGGGAACTACCACTGACATTGGTGGTGTTGTACTGAACGAGAACTACCACTGACATTGATGATGTTGTACTGAACGAGAACTACCACTGACATTGATGGTGTTGTACTGAACGGGAACTACCACTGACATTGGTGGTGTTCTACTGAACGGGAACTACCACTGACATTGGTGGTGTTGTACTGAACGGGAACTACCACTGCCATTGGATGTGTTGTACTGAGCGTGCACTACCACTGACATTGGTGGTGTTGTACTGCACGGGAACTCCCACTGACATTGGTGGTCTTCTACTGAACGGGAACTACCACTGACATTGGTGGTATTGTATTGAACGTGAACTACCACTGACATTGGTGGTGTTGTATTGAACGTGAACTACCACTGACATTGGTGGTGTTGTATTCCTGTATTGAAAGTGAACTACCACTGACATTGGTGATGTTGTATTCCTGTACAGAACGGGAACTACCACTGACATTAGTGATGTTCTACTAAACGAGAACTACCACTGACATTGGTGGTGTTGTATTCCTCTACTGCACGGGAACTCCCACTGACATAGGTTGTGTTGTATTCCTGTTATGAACGGGAACCCCCACTGACATTGATAGTGTTGTACTGAACGGGAACTACCACTGCCATTGGTGGTGTTGTATTCCTGTACTGAACGGGAACTACCACCGACATTGGTGGTGTTGTATTGAACGTGAACTCCCACTGACATTGGTGGTGTTGTATTCCTGTACTGAACGGGAACTACCACTGACATTGGTGGTGTTGTATTGAACGTGAACTACCACTGACATTGCGTGTGTTATATTGAACGTGAACTACCACTGACATTGGTGGTGTTGTATTCCTGTACAGAGCAGGAACTACCACTGACATTGGTGATGTTGTATTCCTGTACAGAACGGGAACTACCACTGACATTGGTGGTGTTCTACTGAACGAGAACAACCACTGACATTGGTGGTGTTGTATTCCTGTACAGAACAGGAACTACCACTGACATCGGTGATGTTGTATTCCTGTACAGAACGGGAACTCCCACTGACATTGGTGGTGTTGTACTGAACGTGAACTACCACTGACATTGGTGGTGTACTACTGAACGGGAACTACCACTGACATTGGTGGTGTTGTTCTGAACGGGAACTACCACTGACATAGATGGTGTTCTACTGAACGGGAACTCCCACTGACATTGGTGGCGTTGTATTCCTGTACTGAACGGGAACTACCACTGACATTATTGGTGTTGTATTGAACGTGAACTACCACTGACATTGGTGGTGTTGTATTCCTGTACAGAACAGGAACTACCACTGACATTGGTGATGTTGTATTCCTGTACAGAACGGGAACTACCACTGACATTGGTGGTGTTCTACTGAACGAGAACTACCACTGATATTGGTGGTGTTGTATTCCTGTACAGAACAGGAGCTACCACTGACATCGGTGATGTTGTATTCCTGTACAGAACGGGAACTACCACTGACATTGGTGGTGTTCTACTGAACGAGAACTACCACTGATATTGGTGGTGTTGTATTCCTGTACAGAACAGGAACTACCACTGACATCGGTGATGTTGTATTCCTGTACAGAACGGGAACTCCCACTGACATTGATGGTGTTGTACTGAACGTGAACTACCACTGACATTGGTGGTGTTCTACTGAACGGGAATTACCACTGACATTGGTGGTGTTGTTCTGAACGGGAACTACCACTGACATAGATGGTGTTCTACTGAACGGGAATTACCACTGACATTGGTGGTGTTGTTCTGAACGGGAACTACCACTGACATAGATGGTGTTCTACTGAACGGGAATTACCACTGACATTGGTGGTGTTGTAATCGTTCTACTAGATATTTGACGAATTGTGTATTTTATATAGTAAACTTGATTCTGCTGAAGTATTCATCTGGCTACACAAAATGTTTGATAAACAATTGGCCATCATAATCTTAACTTCCTCAAAGATTGGCAATTTTTACATTTTAACTGGTCATCTATAGAGTGACATTATTTTGATTATATTTCAGACAGATGACATGCGGACTGATTTTTCCATAAAGATAAAACTAATTGTCCTATGATTTATCAATAGTGGCATATTTATCATTGATATCAGAAAGCAAAATTAAATTTTGCCGACCGCCAAAGCTTGCACAGTATGTTCAAATAGTGAGCTGCTATTTCTGGTGTTTAAAAATTCTATACCGAAAGCTGAAACGCTTTCTGTGTTTTGTTTTTTTACGCATCTGATTGAACTTTAATTAGTTTACATTATAAAGGTTCTTAACACAATAAACCTAGATTTAGGTAACTCCAGATTGATTGGGAGCAAGCCCTTAGATCAAAAATAATTCATTCACTCACCGATGGTTATACTAAATTAATGATCTAAAAAATCTTGAGTTAAATCAATCGTAAACATCAGTTATCTTTTACCAACAGTAAATAAACACACGTCAGTATACATACAAGATAACAGGTCTGGTTAGGTCGTCAGTATACACAC